AAAAAAAAAAAAAGGTAAAAGGAGTAACACAAGAGAAAACATTCAATCTTGGCAACATCCAACAAAATCAAAGGCCCAGAAGCTAATTTTCATTTAAAAACAAGAAAAAAAAAACAAGAAAAAAAGACAATCTTCGAACCTGATGTGTGGGAGGGTACACAAAATTAGTATAAACCGGGCATTCAAGAAGCTCGTGAACACTCGTGATGAGGTGAAGATGAAACGCCGTCGGCTTTCTCGGCGTTTGGGAAGGCCCGGGAATCGCTCCTCCCGCCCAGGTTAATCACAGAGTATCACGCGGCCGGGTTATCGAGAACGGTAACTGGTAATCGTCACTGAATTCATTATCCAGAACGCTGATACCGTACAGGACGAGCCTGGACAACCTCTTCTGGAAAGCGCCGGCGCCGGCCAACGGCAAGTCAGTACTACTACCGTGCGCCCTGGCACACCTACTACCGTGCGCCCTTGGCACACCTTGCTAGGTGTGCCAGGGCGCACCTAAGTATTTGCGTTCTTCTCCTACCTCTGTCAGACTGTCACAGAGTGATCGCCCGTCTCATTTTTCTCTGACAGTGTGTGGCGTGTCCCAGAATGTAAAGATTTCTGTCCACCTTGAAATTACATATTGACCCCAGAAAGAAATAAACTAGGGTCGTATAGTTGACACCAGCACCAAGTCCAACTGCACGAAACGACATTGTTTCGCTAGACAAAAAGTCAAAAAGAAAGATTTTCAAACGGAAAAAAAAAAAATTTTGAAAATTAATCACATTTTTGAGAGTCAAATCAAAAAAATTAATCCCATTTTGGAGGATCCATTTGTCAATGGCAAGAAACGCCATGTGTCGGGCACTCAATGTCTAACAGTTTTTACTTATACTAGTGCGACGATACCCGTGCGATGCACGAGCTAGTTTTATTAAGGTTTAAATTTAGATGATTAAAATGACATTTTATTGGAATAAACAAAATATAACTTATATATTATTAAACACATCATTGTATATAATATTATTTGTTTGGCCTTTTGGTATATCATCAGTACAATAAATTATATTAAGATTCGAGATAAGCTTAAATAAATCAATTAATTATTTAGCAGGATATATATGATATTTTGTAAGTGTATGCAATCATTATTTATTTTTGTAAGTGTATGTAATTAATTCATATTTGTATTTAGAGGATTAAACAAAACCCAATTTTTTAGGATATTCCAATCTGATTTCATTTTGCACTGCAAATTAATATTATCTTACTCTATTTTATGTTTAAAAAAAATCCAAACTAAAGAAAGTAATAGCCTAATGATAAGGGATTTTAAATTTTAATTTTCAATTTTGAAATTGAGCCCGATTACTATGCAATCCGATTTTTTTAATAAACATGATTTGTTGCAATTTGGTAAACACACAAGTTATAGTAATTTGCCTAATTAAAAATTCCCGATTTTATGGTAAACAATTTTTTTTAATAAAATGAAAGAATTTTTACTTTTACAAAATTGTCATGCCGAATTTTACATAATTTAACCCAATTTCTATGCAATCTGATTTTTTTAATAAACAATTAATCTATTGCAATTAGTAAAAGTTATATGTGATAGTATTTTGCCTAATTCGGAATTCCCGATTTTATAGTAATCAATTATTTTTTTTAATAAAAAATGTGAAAGAATTTTGACTTTTGCAAAATTGTAAGCATCAGTCGAAATTTACCTAAATCAAATCCATAAAACCCATGAATATAGGGTGCATATATAGCTGGTTGATTTTTTAGGAATAATTTAGAAAATATAAAACTGCAAAAAATAGAATGCAATAAATGCTGGTTGAATTGTCTCTTTGTATAGATGTAGATGTATAAAAAAAAAGGTTATGTACTAACTTATAAATTTGATTTGAAATAATTTAATTTTTTTTTTCTAAATTTAATTATATTGTAATAATATATATATGGTTTTCTTTACTTATATCATATTTTGAAATATCATCAACATTACAATATTCAATAATCTAAAATAATATTTTAGAACTTTATGAAATATAATAATTATTTTTAATTTAGTTTTTGTTAAGATTTTTTTTTTTGATATCATTATAATGTTCAATATCTTTGTAGTCTTTATTGAAGTCGAAACAAAATTTTGAATATTTCTTTTTATATTCATACATAGTTTATTTATAGTTTTTTCTAATTAAAATAGGGCAAAAAATAAAATTGGGTCCTATAATTGGGCCAAAGACCAATTTTTCACCACGTCATTGACCAATTTTAAACCGGGTCCAATAATTTGACAATTTAATAAAATTTGGTCCTTTTTCATCCGCACCCTGGATAAAAACGTGATATGACGTTCTTAAATTTGACATGGCATGATTGTGGTTTATGTGGCGGGATTATGAAATGTTGACTTCAAAATTAAATGATCCACTTCACCCAAGTTGCAAATAAACTAAAACTTTTGAATTTGTAAAAATAGTCCATAGAACTTATTAAATTTTAAAAAACGAGCCATGCAATCCTAAACTCTATTTCAACTCGTCTTCGCTCACCAGCCTCCGTCGACCGATGCTGCCATTTGCCGGTCGACCACCTCATATCAAATAAAATTTCACATCATCTGGAAGTTCTTCTAGTCCTCGTTCACCTCCTAAAATTTCAGACGAAACTTCCAATAAGGCCGTCAAATGTCCATATCAGATAAAAATTGTCACGTCACATTTTTATCCAGAGTGCGGGATAAAAAAATTAAAGGACCTAATTTGATTAAATTGTCAAATTATTGGACCCAGTTTGAAAGTGGTCAATGACGCAGTGGAAAATTAAACTTTGGCCAAATTATAGGACCAATTTTAAATTTTGCCTTAAAATAATTATTTTATGTTATGTTAATATAAAACCATTTCTATTTAAATTGACGACTCATATATTTGGTAGCATAAGAACATAAATAATAACTATCGGAGTATTAAGTTGGTAATGTAACAATGTTTTTTTTAATGATTTTACAATATCATTTTTTCAATATAAAAAATAGAAAAATTCTAAATATTTTAGATTTTTTTTACCAAAACGACAGAGGCATTATCATTAAACAGAAGGGGACAAAGTTCGAATACAAAGTACACAACTAATAGAGCAACTCAAAGACTAAAATGGGAGACACACCCAAGGGTGGTCTAGAACCTCAACTAGAGGAATCACTAGATAAAGTAAATCTAAAAAGAATCAATACCTTTCTAATATATAAAGCCTAGAAGAGAACTGATTTCTACACAAAAATAAAAAGCAAACCAAAAGCTAAGCAGCAACATTAGCAGATGTGAACTGGAGCCATTCTGAGTGAGCTACCTTAAGTAACTTGCACTCTGGCATTAGGTTGGTTTGAAATATCCACAAGTTTCTTGACTTCCAAAGCCACCAAAGGATGTAAGTAGATAGCTGTATCCTATCTTCAGCAGCTTTGGAGTGATCAAGAGAGCAAATCTGGAACTACCAGGATTTGAAGGAGTCTCTGCTACCATGTAAACCATCCCATCTCACTGGAGATAAATCCCATATTTTGCAATCTCTTGGGCAAGAAAGTAGGACATTCTCAATTGTCTCTGCATCTTCACCACAAATGGTACAAATAGCTTCAATGTCAATCTTCTTCTTCCTCAAGAGAACAGCTACCGGTAAGGTTTCAGTTATGCATTTCCATAGAAAGTGTTTGATTCTTCTTGCCACCTTGAGTTTCCAGTGTCTGTATCTGACTGATTTAGTAATGAGATGAAGGGAGCTGCTTTCTAGAATGTCCAACTGGCTGAGTTTGAGCTTTGAAAGAGAGGCATATGTGCTAGATACTAAAAAATGGCCT